CCCTGTCGCCGCCCTTAGCGGCCCCGTCGCCAACCCTCGCGGCCCCGTCGCCGCCCTTAGCGGCCCCGTCGCCGCCCTTCGCGGCCCAGTCGCCGCCCTTAGCGGCCCCGTCGCCGCACCTCACGGCCTCGTCGCCGCCACAAGCGGCCCCGTCGCCGCCCTTAGCGGCCCCGTTGCCGCCCTTCGCGCCCCCCCCCCTCGCCGCCCCAAGCGGCCCCTGTCGCCGCCCTTAGCGGCCCCTGTCGCCGCCCTGAGCGGCCCCGTCGCCGCCCTTCTCGGCCTTGTTGCGGCCTCTTCGCCGCCCCGTCGCCGCCCTTTTGCGGCCTCCTCTCGGCCCCTTAACGGCCCCTCTCCGACCCCAGCAGCAGCAGCGGCCACTTCTGTCGTGCAGCCGCCGCGGCTGCCGACTGCAGCCACCGCCGCCGCCGTCGCCACCGCCGCTGCCGCCCCGGCCCTGCCGCCGCCGCAGCCGCCGCCGTCGAGCCGCTGTCGTCGCCGCCGTCGAGCAGCCGCCGCTGCAGCCGAGCCGCTGCCGTCGTGCCGCCGCCGCAGTCGAGCCGCCGCCGCCGTCGTGCCGCCGCCGTTGAGCCGCAGCCGCAGCTGCTGCCGCCGCCGCAGCCGAGGCACGCCGTTGCTGCAGTCGCGGCCCTGTCCCTGCCGGCGCGCCTCGGACCTACCCACCCGCCTGGTAAGAGCACTCCCGAGCAGAGCCTCTGCCACTACGCTGCACCTAGCCTACTGCTCTCACTGCTAGCCTACTGCTGTCATGGCTACCCCTAGTGTTCTTACCTTTGATGCTGAGGGTCGGGCTGTCAACTTTGAGGTCTGGGTCGATGATCTGCTGCTTTTCCTACAGTGCGATAGGACAGACGGTCTCTCCCTGTTTGACCCCACGTCTGGTGCCTCTCCTGCCCCTACTGCTGATGCGGACAGCACTGTTTGCTCACAGTGGGCCACACGCGATGCTGCTGTCCGTCTTGCTGTGCGCCGTCACTTACCGACCGCTGAGCGTGCGCATTTTAGTCAGTACAAGAGTGCTAAGACCTTGTACGACGCTGTATTTGCACGCTACTCTTCCCCTGCCACTGCTGCACTTAGCCGCCTCATGCTGCCGTACCTGTTCCATGACCTCGCCGCTTTTACCACAGCCGCTAACCTCATTACGCACCTTCGCACTAGTGACACCCGCTACCGCGCTGCACTTCCTGTTGAGTTCTGCGCCAAGAACCCCCCACCCCATGTACATCACCCTCTACTACATAGTCACCCGGCTCCCTGACTCCCTTCGCTCGGTCAGGGACCACTTCCATTTTGTTTGCCCCACCACACTCACCGTTGACCTCCTCGAGGAGCGCCTCCTGGCAGCAGAGAAGAGTATAGTCGCTGTAGGAGCCTCTCGCGGTGACCCTCGTACCCCCCTCTTTGAGGGGTGTTCCCCCTCCCCCCTCTTGCCCTCTGTTGCCTCTGCAGTTGCGGCCGACCTCGTTGGTCTTGAGTCGGTCGGCGCAGCGTCTGCCCCTAGCGGGAGACGCCGCACAGGCAAGGGCAAGGGGGGCAAGGGCGCTGGAGGAGCTGGCGGGGGTGGTGGAGGTGGCGGTGGAGGCGGCGAAGGGGGTGGGGGTGGTGGTGGGGGTGGTGGTGGGAGTGCGGGCGTCGGTGGCGGCTGTGGAGGCGGAGGAGGCGGCGGCGGTGGCGGTGGGAGCGGAGGAGCCGGCGGTGGCGACGGTGGTGGAGGTGTCGGCGGCGGCGGTGGCGCTGGTCGGGGTGGCTCTGCGCCGAGGGGCGGCTCCGGTGGTGGTCAACGCCAGCAGCAGTAGCGCGCTCGTGAGACCCTGTCCCCTCAGCAGCCTCGTGAGTGGTACGCTGCGCGTCAGCGGGGTGGGGGTGCTGGTCCCTGTACCTACGTCTTGCGTACCGACGACCACACTGGTGAGACGTGCGGTGGCCAGCACGCCACCTAGCGCTGCTTCGGCCGCTTGACAAATGCTTGGCGTCTCCACTTCCCTGGCGCCCCTGAGATCCCTCGCTGGGGCGAGCTACATAGGTCGGGGGTTGCTATCTTTGATCTAGACTTTGATGCTATTCTTGCTGCCATGTATGCTGTGTCTACTAGTGATGAGGGTGGCTGTTACTTGTGTGTCACGCCTGACCCGAGCATTGAGGCTGCTGCTCTAGGTGCTAGTGAGGCTGCTCCTCTAGGTGCTGGTGCGTCTGCTGCCACAGGTGCTGGTGGTGCGTCTGCTCTCTCAGGTACCACGTCGGCTCAGGCCTGTCACAACTTCACCCTTGACTCGGGTGCTTCCCGCTCCTTCTTTCAAGACCGCACCATGCTCACGCCACTTCCTCGACCAGTGGCGGTCTCTCTGGCAGACCCCTCTTGGGGTCCTGTCCTTGCTCACTTCTCCACTCTCTTACCGTGTCCGACGGCCCCTTCTGGCACCCTGTCAGGTCTGTACCTCCCCTCGTTCTCTACGAACTTGGTGAGTGGTGCTGACCTACCGGATGGAGGGGTTCACCAGTTCACTCCTGCGACTCAGAGAGTGACCCACTGTACGTGTGCTCGGACGGGCCGACACTTGGCCACGTTTACCCGTCAGCCGGGATCAAGCCTGTACACACTGACTACTGAGTCTCCTCCGGTCGCTGAGTCTGGTCAGGTAGCTGCGTCGGGTCAGGTGTTTACTGCCGCGTCCTGGTCTGGTCCTGAGTCTGCCCCCTGCTCGTGTTGTCTCCTGTCTCCCCAGACTCTCCTCTGGCACCACCGCCTTGGTCACCCCTCCCTGCCTCGTCTCCGAGGCATGGCCTCCCGTGTCCTTGTCTCTGGTCTCCCCCGGTCCCTCCCTCCCCTCCCTCCGGGGCCTGCCCCTACCTGCGTCCCCTGCGTCGAGGGGCGGCAGCTCGCCGCTCCTCACTCCTCCGAGTTTCCTCCGACAGAGGCTCCGCTGCAGACGCTTCACATAGACGTGTGGGGCCCAGCCCGTGTCCGTGGACAGGGTCACGAGCGTTAGTTCCTACTGGTGGTTGATGAATACTCGCGTTACACCACAGTCTTCCCCTTGCACAGCAAGGATGAGGTCACTGGGGTGTTGATCGACTGGATCCGCGCAGCTCGTCTCCAGCTCAGAGAGAGTTTCGGCTCGGACTTTCCTGTTCTGCGTCTGCACTCCGACAGGGGCGGAGAGTTTTCCTCTGACCATCTGCGAGCCTTCTGTCGAGCACGAGGCATCCGCCAGATGTTCACGCTTCCGGACTCTCCACAGCAAAATGGGATCGCTGAGCGCCGCATTGGCATGGTCATGGATGTCGCTCGTACGTCCATGATCCATGCGGCTGCTCCCCATTTTCTGTGGCCGTTCGCGGTTCAGTACGCGGTGCATCAGCTCAACCTTCAGCCCAGGGTCTCCATGCCGGAGACCTCCCCTGCTCTGTAGTGGACGGGGAAGGTTGGCGATGCATCTGCGTTCCGTGTCTGGGGATCTCGGGCATTTGTTCACGACTTGTCTGCGGACAAGCTCTCCCCCCATGCTGTTCCCTGCGTCTTCCTTGGCTCCCCCCCTGATGCACCTGGTTGGCAGTTTTACCACCCCACCTCGCGCCGTGTTCTGTCCTCCCAAGACGTCACGTTTGACGAGTCGGTTCCCTACTACTGCTCTTCCCCTACCGCACTGCACCCCTCCCCCCGCCGTCGCTCTTCCTCGCCCCAGGTTCCCCCCCGGTAGACCCCCTTCCCCCTCAGGGTCCTGCCCCCTCAGGTGTGTCCCAGGTAGACGCAGTCGAGCCTGTCGAGGTAGCTGTTGACTCTGGTGCTGTTAGGGGTGCTGAGCATGTTGGTGCTGGGTCTGGGGGTGCTGAGCCTGGGGGTGCTGGGTCTGGGGGTGCTGAGCCTGGGGGTGCTGACTCTGGGGGTGCAGAGACTGAGGGTGCGGGGCCTAAGGGTGCTGGGCCTGCTCGTGTGGCGTCTGGCGATACTGGGCCTGGATGTCCTTTGGGTGCTTCGTCCCGGCGGGAGCTACTCTCTCCGCAAGAGCTACGCGAGTGGTCTGCACGGCGCTGGAGCCGTGCTGCTCGAGCTGGAGGTGCTGCTGGAGTTGGAGGTTCTACTGCTGCTGAGGGTGCTGGTGCCACGGGTCCCGGAGGTGCTCGTACTGGAGGTACTGGAGCTGCTGGGCCTGCGGGTGCTCCTTGTGCTGGAGCTGGCGGTGCTGCTTGAGTCGGTGCTGCTGGAGGTACTGGAGCTGGAGCTGGAGGTGCTGGAGCTGGAGGTGGAGCTACTAGGGGTGTTGGCACTGGAGGTGCTGGTGCTTCTGGGGGTGCTGGTGTTGGCGCTGCTAGAGCTGGGGGTGCTACTGGAGCTGGTGCTGCCGTTGGGGGTGCTGGTGCTGTACCTGCTGCTTCTGGGGGAATTGCGCGGCTGCGGCCGTACTTCGTTCCGCTCCTTGAGCAGGTTCTTGGTCTTCCGCCCTCTACTGGTCCTGCTCCTCCCTTAGAGTGTCCACAGCCGGTCCTGTCTGAGTCACAGTTACAGCCCGCCTCCCCTCTGCCTGCTCCTTCTCCCTGGTCCTACACTGGTCTTACTGGAGGTCAACATGAACAAATTTGGGCCAACGGTTCAACTTTTGTCCAATGGGCTTATGACAGTCGACTCAGCAGTCACGTAGTCTCAAGATTCTTTGATCCTTGGACTCGAAACTCGAAGAACCAAAGCACTGAACCCTCTCCGTTCCCCTCCCCTTTAAAATCGTCCCTCGCAGGTTATCGACGTGAAGGAAGTGGTCATCACCTGTGTGATTGTGACCCCAGTCATTTCTAGAGGCTGTTGAACCCGAATCTTAAAGCCTAGCTCCCTTGCTTCCCGCCCTTGCAGGTTATTGAGGTGAAGGGGGTGGTTACCAGTGTGAGTCGAGACCTGGACAACATGCATGGGCTGGTGGAGGGCATGGTGAGTGGAAACGGGGGGGGTGCGGGGTCAGTGGTGCAGGGTTGGAACTTGGAGGTATGAAATGGCACGTGTAGCTTATCCTCGAGTTACCAGTGGGAGTCGAGACCTGGACAACATTCACGGGCTGGTGGAGGGCATGGTGAGTGGAATGTGGGGGCTGCGGGCGGGAATGGGGAGAAGGGGGCTGGGTTGGAGGTATGAAGTATCACGTGTAGCTTATCCTTGAGTCACGTGTAGCTTATCCTTGAGTCAAGTGTGCGAGTCAACAGACCTTGACAACATGCATGGGCTGGTGGAGTGGAGGGCATGGTGAGTGGGAGGCGGGGTTGTGATTGCAGTGGGAGTTTTGTGAAACTTCAAGGCGAAGTCGCTCACCCTCCTCACGCACATGCTCCTCCTCGATTCACGCGGTTTTTTTTCACGTCGTTGCAAAGATGTGTTTTGTGAAAAAAAAAAAAAAAAAAAAACTAAATTTCGCGTCGTTCTTGCAGGGCATTGCCACCCGTGCGTGCTGTTGTTCTCATGTGTCTCTCTGTCACGTGTTGTCTGTGTGTGCCCTCTGCCATTCCATCCTCCCCCTCTGCATTTCTTCACAGGATACCAAGCTGGCCTAGCTCGAGCAGAAGCAGGACATTGCCACATTGCTGCGCTCATGTGTCTCTGTCTTGTGTCTTGTGTCTTAAGTTGTAATTCTCCTGCCTGCAACCCCGGGCCTGCAGGATACCAAGCTCGCATCGCTCGAGCAGAAGCAGGACATTGCCACACGGGGAGTGCTGCTGCTGTGCAGCTTTGTGAGCAGAGGGCTGCAGGGCAACCCTGGCAACCAGGAGCTGCTGAAGGTGAGGTGGGGGAGTTTTGGTGGATTATGGGGTCAAAGAGTGTGAGTAAGAACAGAGGCGGGCAGTAAGTGGTTTGCTGCTGTGCAGCTTCATGAGCAGAGGGCTGCAGGGCAACCCCGGCAATTAGGAGTTCCGGAAGGTGAGTAGCGGTGGGGTGGGGTTTGGAGGGGCTAATGGAGTGTGCGAGCAAGAGGACATCTCCACTGTGTGAGCAGAGGGCTGCAGGAGAGCCTTGGGAACCAGGAACTGCTGAAGGTGACAAGTGGTGGGAGGAGGGGGGAGGTATATTTGTGCGACTTTTGGGAATTTTCAAAAGTAGTGATACTTCTCAAAAGTCGTGAGAATTCTCAAAAGTCGTGAGAATTCTCAAAAGTCATGAGAATTCTCAAAAGTTGTGAGAATTCTCAAAAGTCGCACGAAGAGGGCTGCAGTAGAAACTTGGGAACCAGGAACTGCTGAAGGTGATAAGTGCTGGGAGGAGGGGGGAGGGGTTGGGCGGATGTGGTTCAGTGGGCGGTTGATGCGGTCCAGAGTGGTGAGCGGTCTATGTCTTTGCAGCTTGCGCTTCCTCTCTTTTTCCATCTACTCAAGTTTCCATATCCCAGGGCGTGGTGGACATGTCACTTGTGGTTGTGCTACAGATTGCCTTTTGAGGCGCCTCAAAAGTCGTGGCGGACATGTCACAGATGGCTGTGCTACAGATTGCCTTTTGAGGCGCCTCAAAAGTCGTGGCGGACATGTCTCTTGTGGCTGTGCTACAGATTGCCTTTTGAGGCGCCTCAAAAGTCGTGGCGGACATGTCACAGATGGCTGTGCTACAGATTGCCTTTTGAGGCGCCTCAAAAGTCGTGGCGGACATGTCACAGATGGCTGTGCTACAGATTGCCACGGGCAACAGATTGCCACAGGCAAGGGCATCACGCTCATCTGATCTCCCTTCTTCTCGTCTGGAGCCCATCTACTCTGCTCCCAATGCATCAAGGCCTGGCGCACATGCCGCAGATGGCTGTGCTGCAGAGTGCCACGGGCAAGGGCATCACGCTCCAGCTCTCTCCTGCCCTCCCTTGTGCTCCTGCCATCTGCTTTCCTCTCATTCTCTCAGGGCCGGGCGGACATGTCTCAAATGGCCGTGCCACAGGTCGCCACGGGCAAGGGTCCAGCTCATTCTCTTTTTCTGTCATCTCCCTTCCTTCCTCTCCCTTCCTCTCTGCCTTCCTCTCTGCCTTCCCATCTACTCTCAGGGCCTGGCGGACATGTCACAGATGGCCGTGCCTCAGCTTGCTGCGGGGAAGGGCGCGCCAGCAGGGGGGGCAGTGGGGCTATCAGGGCTGAAGGAGCTTGAATTCATCTCGTCTGCTTTGGAATCTTCCGTGCACCATACAGGTAAGGGTGCAGGTGGGAGTGGTGCTTCAGGGGAGGGGTAGGGGAGTAGGGGGGAGATGTGGGCAGTGGTGCTGTCGGGGCTCAAGGAGCTTGAGTTCCTCTCGTCTGCCTTCGAGTCCTCTCCTTGGTGCACCACTCAGGTGGGAAGTACTGATGTTACTGCTTGGAGGGGGGGGGGGTTGGGGGGTTCGGGAAGCAGTGGGGCTGTCTGGGCTCAAGGAGCTTGAGTTCCTCTCGTCTGCCCTCGAGTCCTCTCCTTGGTGCACCACTCAGGTGGGAAGTACTGATGTTACTGCTTGGAGGGGGGGGGGATGGGGGGTTCGGGAAGCAGTGGGGCTGTCTGGGCTCAAGGAGCTTGAGTTCCTCTCGTCTGCCCTCGAGTCCTCTCCTTGGTGCACCACTCAGGTGGGAAGTACTGATGTTACTGCTTGGAGGGGGGGGGGATGGGGGGTTCGGGAAGCAGTGGGGCTGTCTGGGCTCAAGGAGCTTGAGTTTCTCCCAACTGCTCTCGAGTCCTCGGTGCACCTCTCAAGTGGGGGTGTGGGTGTGTTGCTGGTGAAATTGTTGGTAGTGGTGCTTCTGTGGGTGGGGCAGTGGGGCAGTGGGGCAGTGGGGCCATTTCTCTGTCGGGGCTGAAGAAGCTTGAGTTCATCTCGTCTGCCCTCGAATCGTCCGTGCACCACTCAGGTGGGGATTGGGGTGTGTGTTTGGGGCTGCTGCTGCCGCTGGTGGTGGTGTGGCTAGTGCTGCAGCAGGACGGGCAGTGGGGCTGTCGGGGCTGAAGGAGCATGAGTTGATTTCCTTGGCTTTGAAATCCTCCGTCCACCACTCAAGTATTCGTGGAGGTAGGGATGGTGCTTCTGGTGTGGTTGCTGGTCGTTGCGAGTGCCGGTGATACCAGCCAACCATGTCTCTTCACCCCTGTTGCCTGTATCTCTCCATTCTCTTCTTCTCCACCAATTCCTCCTCCCCCTCCTTGACCTCTGTTTACCTATCCCTCCATTCACTCCCACTCCGCCCATCCCTTCTCCCTTCCCATCTGTGCCACTGTTTCAGGGAACCTGCCTCTCGATCCTGCCTACACGTACCAACCCACTCGCCAAGCCTCCTACCAAGCCTCAACAGCAGGTTTGGAGCGGCAAACCTCTGCATCAGCAACGGCACCGGCCGCAGCAGGAATTGCATCCAGACACTCATTCGGAGCAGGAGGGGCGGCGGCAGCTGCAGCAGCCGCAGCAGCGATTGCAACAGTGTCAGGGAGATCTCGAGGGGACAGTGTATCTGGACTAGGGGTAGGGGTAGGAGGAGGAGGAGGAGCAGGAATGCATGGATTGGGGCCAGAGCGAGGGATGCACGGAGCAGCAGCAGCACATGGTTTGCATACGGCAGCACCTGCAGCAGCACAAGGTTTACATGCATCTGGAGCAACAGCAGAGGCGGCTGTGGTTCAGAGCGTGAGAGAGGCCGGGGATGTGGTGTTGAGGCGAGGAGTGGTGATTGAGGAGGTGGGGGATGGAAGGGAGGGATGTGGGCGGCCGCGTCCAGCGAATGAGGTGTCGCCACCTCGTGCTCGTGAAGGAGTACCTGGCGGTTATCCACCAAGGTGTGTCCCAAGTGTGTGTGTGTGTGTGTGTGTGTGTTTTTTTTCTGTTTGTGTAAATTTTATTCTTGTGTTACTGCAAATTATGATGGCAGCTCCTAGCAGAACTGGTTTGGTCAAGCCCCACTTGTGATTCACTCCAATTTCCACCTGGCCTACTTTCCCTGGCATCTCACTTCTCTTGTTTCCAGGAAGCTGAGGCATGCTCGTTTCGGAGACTGAAGAAGACTGTTTATCAGCATACATGGCCAAGATTGGCGTGAGCAATTTAAACAAGTCCAGTTTACATGAGATGCCAGTTGACATGCTGCACCATAACATGTTGACTGGCCCTTTCATGTCATGCTACTACTATTTGGCTAAATTCTTTCGCAATGGGCATTGTTGTTGTGATAGATCTGAAGTTGCAGATTACATTGGCAAGAAACTGAAGTAAATGAAAGCAAAAAAAGGAGGTGCATCTTTGAGTGGAGGTCCCCGAATTAGGGACAGAACTACAAGCAGGGGGTAGCCCCTGAAAACGGACAGCTAAAAGGAGTATGGCAAAGAGTATCCTAACCAAGTCATGCCGCCATTCACAGAGAGATGCTGGGAGTACACTGCTCGTTGTACTTCTTAGCGGAAAACGGGTCCAGCTGCATCGTGCATTCCACATGCACCATAACGCGTGGCGACGAGATGCCCCAGTATTTCACGCGCGCTGCAGTGCCAACCACCACCCGCATTTCCGCGCGCCCATGCAGCAGCGGCGTCGTCAGCAGGCTCGCGGGACTCAGCGTCGCCAGGGGCGCGTCGACAATATCGAGGGGGACAGTCAACTCCGCGCTCCCACCCTTGCTCATGCCCACGACGCCAGGAATGGTCACATTTGTAACATTCATGTCGAAGAATTTTACGTCCACGCTGATGTTTTCCGCTTCCACGTCCCAGTTGTTGGGGTTATACACGAGCGCGGTGACGTTTATTAACGCGGATAGGCCCAGGCGGAAGTTTTCGAGGCCCAGGAACCCGCCGCCGGATTTTGTGATGCCGACGCGGAGGATGTTGATTTGCTCGACCTTCACCTCCGGCTGTTGCTTCGAGACTGTCAGGTATGCGACGAGCCCTGCGACGCCTAATCCGACGATAACGACGGTGAGGACGATAAGCAACCAGCATGTGATGCGGCAGCAGCAGGTCCGGCGACGACGCCTCCGGCGATCCTTCTCGTCCTTGCGAAGCTTCTCTGTTTCGTCTGCAGTGCTGGCTACTTCTTTAGGTTTGGCGATGTGCAAGTCGGAAGGGTAAACCGCGGTGAACTCTCCCGGGTTCTCCTCGTCGCCGCTGCCACTTGCGGAAACTGCGTTCCGCGCAAGCGGAGGCGCGCAGCAAAAAACTGGAAGCGATTTCTGAGGGGATGAGGAAACTGGAAGCGAAGCGTCTGGGACTGAGAAAGCGGAGTTTCCTGATTCAATGTCCCCGTCCGATGCTACCTGTTGTGTCGACCTTGAAATCCGTGAATCGTTAACGAGAGCCATATAGCCTGAAGGCGAGTGTGTATGGGGATGGTAGACGACGTGAGATGGTTGAGCGGACTTGTGTGGTCAAGTTGATGATTGGAGTTGCTTCGAATTGGTCTGTTAGGAATGGGCTTGCTCTTGCATATTTATCGTGCAAGTGAGGGGGAGAAATGTCGAAGTTCCGTGGCCCCGCCCCACCTCCACGTCACATTCTGGCCAGCCCTTGAACCGAGTCGCGCCCAGGGCAATCGCGGTCCGCTGTGCAGGATTTGGCAAATGAAATGGCGGAACCGAAGCTTCTTCGTCGCCTGGTAATTGGGGATGCGGACAAACGAACAAGACGAACCAGCCAACACGGCTCGGTGAGCCTCCCTCCAGAAGCCCATATTTCCAACCAGCCCAGCCTAGCCATTCAGGTTAGTGCTGGATTTTTTACAAGAAACATGCTACTTATGTGAGTGTAATAAACATTCCTTACTAAGACCAGCGACACCACGTACAGCAGCAGCCTTTGTTTGCCCGTTACTGCTAATGGGGCTTCGCCAACTTCGCGCGCACTGTTTCACTAAACCTCGCACTGCTGGCCCGACCGTGTCGGTCTACGCTTCGGGACTAGCCTGAACCTTGCTACCAACGTAGCACTAGCTAGCTCGCACGCACCGCTTTGTCGTTTTGCATGTTTCGCGTACAAATGTTCGTTCATGCGTTCGCTCACATTTTGTACTCGTTTGATACTTATTAGTGCAATCCTCGTTACCTCGATCCATTGTACCCGTAACATTTGGTATCAGAGCTTCTTTCATTTTCGGACCACGCATCTCCGCACCCCAGAAAGGCAAAATTTATTTTTTCACTCGAAAGGACTCACGCACCTTAGCCCCTAGGAGCCATTGTCCTCGCGTTCTCTCGTAAACGCGTGCAGCCACGACCTCGCCTAGACTAAGTCGAGCCGACGCCCTTCGCCATGGCTGAACACATCGACGTCACCATTCTCACACAGGACCGTTTGAACTGTTGGACTGAAAAGTCCTAGGATCTTTGTAGAGCTTAAAGTCTGAGTAGGATTGTAATGTCAAACATTATAAATGTTATGCTTGTGTAGGCTACAGTGGGTTAGCCTATAGGGGGTACACAATTCTAGGGTTTCCTACTTGTACTCATTTCACTGCTAGTTCATTCATTCCTGTTCGCTTATTCTCACATGGTATAGAGAGGGTCCTTCTACGGACCGGTTTTTTTTTTTGGGCCCACCGAAGCGCCCTCCCGAGGCGCGATTTTTTTTTTAGCGACCCCTCGGGTCGTCATTTCCCCTGCGGCCCCGCCGCCTTCACTAACGCGGCCCCGCCGCCCTCTCTGACGGGGCCCCGCCGCCGGCCCTTACGCGGCCCCGTCGCCTGCTCTCACGCGGCCCCGCCCCGGCTCCTTCGCGGCCCCGCCGCCTGCTCTCGCGCGGCCCCGCCCCGGCTTCTACGCGGCCCCGCCCCGGCTTTCACGCGGCCCCGCCGACGGCTTTGTCGCGGCCCCGCCCAGGCCCTTACGCGGCCCCGCCGCCTGCTCTCACGCGGCCCCGCCCCGGCTCCTTCGCGGCCCCGCCGCCTGCTCTCGCGCGGCCCCGCCCCGGCTTCTACGCGGCCCCGCCCCGGCTTTGACGCGGCCCCGCCGACGGCTTTGTCGCGGCCCCGCCCAGGCCCTTACGCGGCCCCGCCGCCTGCTCTCACGCGGCCCCGCCCCGGCTCCTTCGCGGCCCCGCCGCCTGCTCTCGCGCGGCCCCGCCCCGGCTTCTACGCGGCCCCGCCCCGGCTTTCACGCGGCCCCGCCGACGGCTCTGTCGCGGCCCCGCCCAGGCCCTTACGCGGCCCCGCCGCCTGCCCCCGTCGCGGCCCGGTCGCCTCCTGACGGCCCCACCGTCCCTTCGTGACGGCCCCGCCGTCCCTTCCTGACGGCCCCGCCGTCCCCTCCTGACGGCTCCTGCCGTCCCCTTCTACCGGCCCCGCAACTGCACCTGCTGGCCCCGCCGCTTCACCTCCGCAAGCGGCCCCCTCAGGTCGCCTCGACAGGCGACGGGAGAGGCCAGCAGAGGGGTGGCAGGTGTGTGGCCTCCCCTGCTTCTCCTCCTCCTTCATCTCCCACTGCAGCAGCCGAGCCGCTCACCTGCAGCAGCCGAGCCGCCCCACCGCCGAGCCGCCCTGCACCCGAGCCGCCCAGCAGCCGAGCCGCCCTGCCGCCGAGCCGCCGGGTCGCTGAGCTGCTGAGCTGCAGTTGCTGCCGAGCCGCCCTGCCGCCGAGCCGCCGAGTCACCGAGCTGCTGAGCTGCAGTTGCTGCCGAGCCGCCTTGCCGCCGAGCCGCCCGAGTCGCCCGAGCCGCCGAGCCGCCGAGCTGCCGAGCCGCTGAGTCGCCGAGCCTACTCTTCCCACCACTGGTGAGCTCTTGCCCTGCTAGCACGCTGCGCGTCGCCTGCTTGCCTGCCTGCCTGCCTTTTGGCTTGCCTGGCTGCCTGCCTTCCGGCTGCTAGTCCTGCTCCTGCTTCTACTTGCGG